CCATATGTGCACTCGATATTTGCGAGTCCTCTAGAAATCTCACTAGCATCCCGTGCAGGCATCTCACTTGACACTCATAAGTGATTTCATCAAGTGTATGCTACAAATCATACATCACACATAAAGGGATATAAAAATCATTAAAATCTTTATAAAAGGTCAAACTTTTTCACATAAAGCTTACCGTAAAGATTATCTTCTTATTAATGCAACTTTAGCACTTTTTTACACCAAAGAAAGAGATTAAAAAATTAAAATTGATTAAAATCAATTTTAGTGCTAACAAAATTACCAAGTGACTTGTTTTTCCTATTGAACATTCTTCATGGGATCTTCAATAAAAAAGAGTTGGGTTACCATCATTGTTTGTTTTAAGTGACTTAAAAAAAATCTCATTTCCCTTAATATTTGTAAATAACTCACAATGTTTCGTAAATAATATCTTTCATAGGAGTTTAAAGTTAAAAGATTAGTCAAATCCATTATTGACTACACTAATAATTTTTAATTTTTTTAAGTAATTATTACATCACATCATTTCTTGAATTTATATTCTCAACAAAATATTTGTTAAGAGGTTATCAATCACTAAGTCTCATAATCAATCATTTCCAGAATAACAAACTCTAATTCAACAATTATATTTAGTTAATCTCAAATTAATTTCACTACAACAAAATGTAATCACACAACATTAGGAGATTTTGTCTCATATGGATCCTAAACTCAATTAATCATCATTGTATTTTCTAATACAATGAAAAATCCATAATGTTAAATACCATAATTTATGACATCTTTATAACATCTCAAGTTATGTAAAATTTGTAATATGGATAACATATTTAGCACTATAACCAATCATGTTAGTTAGAATTGTTAACAATTTCACAACATATTTATTAATCCATGTCATAAATGACAATAACTATTAAGAGTTAAACTCAAAAGGTTCATATCACTATTACCATCATACCACAAACTTATCCACATATATAATAATATTGGTTCTAAAATGAGTATTATCTCATTTATGAGAACCAATATTAATAATTAATTCTTTCTATATAAAAAAATCTCAAAAATTAATTACTTACATATTTTCTAACACCATCTTGCACTTATTTATTCATAAAAATAGTATTATCAAAATAATTCCATTCTCAATACTTCTAAAAAAAAAAAAGACTTTTAATTTAAAGTCTCTGGTTGAAGTTCACAAAAGTCAAAAGTATAAATAATATCCACGGTGCCGGAAATCATATATTTATTTAAAAGAGAAAGCATACCTGAATGGTTTTTCACCTTTCATTTCCCTGATTTTTGGTGTGAGCCCAGTGACATAGTTTTGTTTCATTCACAATGTCTTGAATGTCACAATGCATGCATGCTCATTTCATCTCGTTCCTTGTGTTCTGCTTCGAATCTTGTTTTCAGCTCTCACAGTGGTGAACTCTAACACGCTTAAATAATTTTGTCTCAACAAAATGTCATACATTGCAATATACAATTGGAAATTCTTTAGATTGTTGTCTATAGATGTTGATGATATAAATTCATCTGAATTTTTAAGATGTGTAATGTATTGTTCCAAAGGGTTTATTCACAAATTTTGAAGTTTTTAGGATACAACATAATCTTTTGGATGTTAGATTAAAGATATAGAATTCACCCAAAAAAAGAGAGAACATAGATAAACCAATTAGAAGAAAAACAATGTTTAGTACATCTAACTCTTACATAAAAGGAACGTTGTTGTGTCTATAATTAATTATGTAAATTAAAAATGATTAATTTTAAAACATTTGATTATTTAAAATTAATTAAAACTATAACGATTATGTTATTGTACTCATTAAAGTTGATATTGATGAGGGTATAAATCTTGTAATTAATAAAATAATTATTTTAAATTTAAATTTAAATTCAAAATAATTTCATGAATAAATTAACCTTTTGAAAGAGATAAGATCAGTATATAAAAATTATTACCTTAAAAATCAATTTTGTATGGTTGAATAGAACTTATAAACCACATTTTTAAGATCATATCAAAACTTATATCCTAACTATTATTGATTGTTGTCAGGTTTATTAAACCACATGCGAAACAGTTTTCCTTCTTAACTACTTCTTTTTCTATTCATAAATCTCGAACCTAAAATCTTAATTAAGGGAATTGAATTCAATATTATCCAAATCAATGACTTATTTGTATATCAAAGTTTATCTAGATTCATTAAATATGATCGCTCACGATTTATTTACATACCAAACCTAATCATATAGAACATGAAGAAGTTGGATTAGGAAAAACTGCATGAAAAAATATATTTAGAAAAGCTTAAATCTTATATCAATTAAATATAAGACAAAAAATGTTAACAATATACTTTTTTAAACAATCTTTTTAATTGATTAAAATTTATTAAAAAAATATAAAAATTGATGAGTTTTATATCCTATTTAATGACCAACTCTCTTTTAATTTTGTAATTTTTAATAAACATTAACCAATAAAAATAAGTGTGTTAAAAAAAACATATTAATAACATTTAAGACTCAAATAGAATGTATAAGTGAAAGATAATCTAAACTTATAAATAAATTTTGTAAGATTAGTCAAACTTATATATATATATATATATATATATGTTAAATACCTAATTTGGTCTCTTATAATATTTTAAAGTTTCAATTTAGTCTTATTTTAATTTTTGGTTTCAATTTGGTCCCTAATAATTTAAATTACTGTAATGTCGGACCTTCCGTCCAAATTTCTTAAACGAAGTTAACTGTTGGTCACGTGGATGCCACGTAGATGCAACGCCAAATTTCTTTAATGCATTTGGAACCAGAACGGACCGTTCTAGTTCCAAAACGCCTAACACAAACGGTCAATGATTATAGTTCACACCCGTGATTCTAAATCACGGTTGTGAATCATGCAAGGAAAAAAAAATTCAAGGTGCAAAGCATTTCAAACACTGGAATTGGTAATATTGTCAATGGGGGATTTATAACTTCAATTGCTAAACATTTGGGCTATACACCATTTCTGGACCAATTACAAGATATAGGAGCTCCTAGAAGTATTAATTATAATACTTGTTATGCAATGCAGTGTATCACTAAGGACAATGGTGACATGTTTTATTTCATTGTTAATCAAACTAAAGTGAACCACTTACTACCAAATCAACACTATACAGTCAATAATGAAATGACTCAGTAATTTCTTTGAACTTTTTTAGTATATGTTATGTTATGAATTTTTGTTTTCAGTCTCTGAACCATATTTCAGTCATTGAATTTATGTTATGTTATGAATTTTTATTTTCAATCTTTGAACCACATTGCTGCATTTTGTTGAATGCAAGTATGTGATTGGCGTCCTGGAACGACCCGTTCACCCGTTCTAGAACCAGAACTACTCGTTCTAGTTTCAGAACGGTCCGTTCTGCTTGCACTCGTTGTGTGTTAACTAATGCATCTGGAACAGGCCGTTCCAAATACAACATTAACACACCACGAGTACAGTCAGAACGGACCGTTCTGATTTTAGAACGGATCGTTCTGGTTCTAGATAATTTGGCATCCACCTATGCATCTACGTGGATGCCACGTGACCAAAACTCTGTTTAAGAAATTTGAACGGAAGGTCCGACATTGCAGTAATTTAAATTATTAGGGACCAAATTGAAACTAAAAATTAAAGTGAGATTAAATTAAAACTAAAATATTAAAAGAGACCAAATTAGATATTTAACCTCTCTATATATATTAATATTAAATTGAAAAATAAAATAGTGTGAACTGGATCCGCAAATTCCAAGAGGGAAAGTCAAAAACATGTCGGTAATAGAGAAAGGGAAAGGTGATAGATTCAATACATGCATATCAGAAGAAATGAAAGAAAGATCAATAAAGAAGAGGGCCACCCAACACTGCTGCAAATGCATGGTCATGGGACCCACATCCTTCCTTCTACATTTTTGCAACACCCACCTCTCATTAAAACTTTATCACCAATCTTTACTTACGCCCTTCAACACTTTTCCTTTTCAATCAACCATCCCATTTTAATATCATCCATGTAATAAATAAAACACTCTCTTAATCTACTTTAATTATTTCTGCTTATAGTAATACTTATTAAGCTCATAAATTGTGATTTCAGAAAGTTAAGAATATTCTTATGAACATATCTTTTCTAATTGAATTTTTATAAAAAAAAATCATAAAATTTGATAGGTTTTACAATTTATGAAATGATTTTTTTTTTTTAAACTTTCTACATTGTTAGCGTTCTTATTGTGATGTTTATTTAAATATGTCACTTCTTCTCATGATAAATGTTGGTCGTTAGTTATTTGCCCTTTTATGACTCAACACGTAGACAAATTAGTAACGTAATGTAATGTGATTGCTCTGCGTGTGGAAATAGTGAAATGAAAGCTCTCCTCAAGCGTGTCTCACTTTGCGCGCTTTCGGAGACCATTTCCAATTCCTTTGACATGGAATTGGAAACCAACAAACGCATGCACAAGTAACCGCAAATGCAGTGCAGCCAAATAGATTCCTTGCAATGACTTGGTTTCAGTTTCGTTTTGTCCCATAAAAGGATTGATATTGACTCATGTAAATGTAATTTTAGTAAAAGTAGTAATTTTTGCTTATTATTACTTAAATTTTATTGTCTCTTTTTCAACAACTATATAAGAATGATTAATTTTATTGATAATTAATTTCTATCATAAATTTATTCTCTCGATGATATTTTTTCTATTTAGAATTTTTTTTTTGAAAGAACTATGTCTAGTTGTATCAATTACTTGTTGATAACTTAATTTTGTCTCTAAACCTCAGTTTAATTCAAAACAATAAGAAATAATAATGTGTTAACATGAACAAGTTACATAATTTTTAAAATAAAATCACCTAAACATAAATTGTTTTACTTCAAAATTAATCTTAACAAAGAAACCGCATGCTTCGATTTGGTTGTAGACAGAAACACAATTATTTGGTTTTGCATTTCTCCTTGTAGCCCAACTAACACCACTCCGTACAACCTTAAACAATGTTTCTATATTACTATTTTGCTGTCTAAAACTCAAAGGCATGAATAAAGTTGCGATCTTTTTTTTTCTTTTTTTTTTTTCAGTAACCCTGATATGGAATGAAAGAATCCATTTTGCAAGGTTCTAAGATTCTCAGAGGAAATTTTGTCCCCACTGTGCTTTCTCTTCATTACTCCCCTTTTTCGGTTTTTGGTCTCTTGTTGTTTGGATTCTGAGAAAAAACCCCGAAAGGAAAATCATCAGCAAAAGAAAAAGCACAAAACACACCCTCTCTCTCTTCCTTCCCCACCCCACCACTTTGGTCACTTCATTTTCTGAGTTTGTTGTTGTTTCCAAGAGGCCAAACACTTCCTTTTGGACCTCTACGTGAAAGTTCTATCATAATAATATCTGGGTCTAAGAGGATTCTGCTGCTTCTTCTTCTTTGTTTGGTGATGGTGCTTGGTTAGACACCCTTCGTGTGCTTGTGTTTGTTTTGTGTATTATCGCTCAGTTCAATTCAGCAATGGAGGACTCAGCCATGTTGCGTCTGGTGAGGTGCCCCAAGTGTCAAAATGTCCTTCCTGAACTTGCCAATTACACTGTTTATCAATGTGGTGGTTGTGATACTGTTCTTCGAGGTACCCTTTCTTCATATCCCTCTCTTCTTAAATTTACCATAAGGCGTGGTTTGATTAAATGTGCTTTGGAGTTTTTTGTTTTGTGCTAATTAACTGTATTGAGAGTTTAGTGTTTTGGTTTGGTGAAATTAGGATCTTTTGTGTTCAAAGGTCAAAGGCATGAAAAGGGGTTGGGTATCCTGATTTCTTATTGTGGTTTCCACTTTGTTTTCCTTTGCAGGAAAGCTTAAAGGTTCCGAAGGTGGTAGGTTGTGGGAGGCTACGGATGAGGGACAAGGTGGAGGAGCACATGGTAAACCAGTAAGTTTCTTGGGGAAAGGGGTAGTTGATCTGGGTGATAATTCAGATGTTGATGTTAGGTCCAATGGTGGTTTCTCCAAGCAGGATCAAAGAAGGGATTTGGGGAAACCAAATAAAGGAAATGAGAGGTTTTTGGATGATTCCAAAGATGGGGATGAGAAAGGGATTTTGGAGAATGGTTTTGATGTCAATAAGGACAAAAGGGGTAAATCAATAGGAAGGGAGCATCATGAGCAGAAGCCTCAAATGGGACGGGACCAATTCTATGGGAGAATGTCTAATTGGCCAAATGGGGAGAGAGGTGAGATGGAGGGGTTTTGGAGAAAGCCACAAGCTGATATAGAGGGTGTTAGATTTCCCACTTTGAATTATCCTGAAGAGGGATCTTCAAATAGCTATTCAAGTTTTCCTTATGGGGAACAATGGAGGAATTGTAAGGACATGGATGGTATGAATAGGGTTCAGCACCTTGAGCAAGACCGAGCTGAGATATTAAGGAAGCTGGATGAGTTATCAAACCAGCTGAGCAAGTCTTCTGAGTTGGCTAATAATCCAAAAGAAAAGGTTCTTCCTGAGGGTAAGATGGTTCCTCCAGATCCTTATAATGGCCATGAAACTTGGCTTCCAGATGGATCATCTACGGTGAACAGGACCTCGAGACAATTCTTTGGCCCTGATAAACGCTTGGCAGGCCCCCCTTATTTCAATTATCATCATGATCCATATGCTTATTCAAGTGGTCATGAAATGGCCATGCCCAACTTCCACCCTTCCATGCACAATCCAAACTATGTTCCTGGATATGGGGATCCTTTTGTACCTCAAATGATGAAAGGTTCACACCCTTTACCTCATCAATTCCCTCAAAAACCAATGCATCCTTACTTTCCCGGGCACTATGTTGATACTGGTCCTGAATCATATGATCCATATGCACTTAATGCTATGCTTCACCCACCTTCTTGCTCTTGTTTTCGTTGCTATGACAACAAAAGAAGAGGTTCTGTGCCTGCACCACCTGCTGCATTCATTAACAGCAGATTCCCTCATACCCCTGCCCCAAATGATCCTATGTTGTACCGTCATGATATCCCAGGAGCAGTTGGTCCGCATGTTCATAATTCTAGAACTGCCATTCCTGATGTGAGTTTGCATGAAAATAAAATGCATACAAGATGGCATAGAGACTACAAGTCTGAGATGAATGGTTTTGTTCGAAGCCATCCTCGAAAAGTAGTGCCTGCTAATGGTAGTAGGCATTGCCTTCCTATAGCTGGTGGTTCTCCTTTCTTCACATGTCATAATTGCTTTGAGTTGCTGCAACTGCCTAAAAAGACACTGGTCATGGAGAAAAATCATAAGCAAAAAATGCGATGTGGGGTTTGTTCTTCAGAAATAAAATTTTCTGTCATCAATAAGAAGCTAGTTATTTGTCTTCATTCAGAAACGGAGGATAGTGCCACTTCCACGAGGATTGATGATACTGCTAATGAGGTTGTGAATAGTCATTTGTCCCATTCCCGTGGTGATGCTAACACCAGTGCTGTGAACTTCTCATCTGATGATTATTCTGGTTATGATTTTCACTCAGTTGATAGAGAATCTCCTGTGCTGGCTGGTGAACCAAGCTTGAACTCTAGCAAGTCTAGGGAGATGCAAAGTTTTCATTCTTCATCATCTCCCAGTACCTCTGATGATGAAAATAGTCCAGAAGTTATGAATGCACCAAGTGAAGCTACTAATAAGTCCATTCATCAGCCATCTAAATCCTCTGATCAATCTCCTCCACCTTCTGGCTCGTGCAATAACAATGCTGTAAGTCGATTAGGGAAAGGTAATCAAAGTAATCGCTCAGATCAAGGGAAGGAAAATATTGAAAAGAATGCCTCAAGGAAAAATTCATTGAAAGAGGTAGTGCTTGCATCTGAGATGGATGTCCATGATTATTCTAACACTGGGGTCTCCCAGGATTCTGGTGATGCAAGTGGAGAACACGATCATCCAAGGTCTAACAAAAGGGGTGAATCATTTTTAGCAAACATTATCAAGAGAGATAGCAGCAAAAGTAATGTTACTGTAAATGGACAACCCATACCAGATCGTGTGATTAAAAAGGCTGAAAAGCTAGCTGGACCAATCCAACCAGGAAATTACTGGTTAGTATACTTTACAGTCTACTATCTTAGGCTGACATAGATCAAAATACTCGCATGAAGAGAATTGTATAAGGGATCAAAATAATGTTTTTTAACAAATTGTATGGTGGGGGTTCAAAATCAGTTAAGCTATTGAAAATAGGTTCTTTGCTTTTATATACTTTTTCAAATAGTTTAATGTAGTAGACTCAGTTAAGTTCTTATCATCTACAGTGTATTCATTGACAAAATAACATTAAATTTGATAATTTAACATGTCTTTTACGAACATGTTTGGGAAAGATTGATTTTCCCACTTTCAGCTCTTTTTTCAGGAAAAAAGCTGTTTGCAAAATAAGCTGTATGTTTAGGTCAACAACTTAAATTTGTAAATAGCTTTATTTCTTAAAAAAAATAAGTTGTTTTTAAGAAGATAAAAATTTGAAGCGTATAATTATTTTCAAGTTTTTTTCCTTTGAAACTGTGTTACTACATAAAAGCTGACTTTTTTTGAAACTGTGTTACTACATAAAAACTGACTTTTTTTGTTGTATCCAAACGAAATTAAGTATTTTAAAATCGCTTTTTCACAGATTTATCAAAACAAAATTTCATTTTGATTATAATTGATTATAGCAATAATCGATTATTCATATAATTGATTATTGAAATAATCTAATTTTCACAGCTTTTCCAAACACACTTGTATCATTTTATCACAGCTTAGAAGGGAAGTTTTAAATTTTAAACTGTTTGCTTATGTAGTGTAGTAAACTAGTAATCTATTGCTTATACACTTTTGCTTCCTTAGGTATGATTTCCGGGCTGGATTTTGGGGTGTCATGGATGGGCCATGTCTTGGAATAATTATGGTAAGTTATACTTGCACACTTCATTTCTCTTATGCCTATAATCTGATCAACATAAATTAATACGTTAGTTTCTCTTGCAGCCATTCATAGAAGAGTTCCAGCATCCCATGCCAGATAAATGTGCTGGTGGAAATACTGGTGTTTTTGTAAATGGCAGGGAACTTCACCAAAAAGACTTAGATTTGCTTTCTCGTAGAGGACTTCCTCGTGACAGCAATAGATCTTATATCATCGAAATTTCTGGGAGAATCCTGGATGAAGACACAGGAGAAGAGCTAGACAGCCTTGGGAAACTTGCACCAACGTAAGTGCCGAATTTCTGGCTTTCTGGTTTCTGATGATTCTATTCCATCTATCTAGAGATTGACTATCTCTTTTGTTTCATTGTCCTTGTGTTTCTATTTATTACTTGGAGATAATAAAATACTGGTTACCTATTGTTAACAACCCATGCTTGTTTTTAAGTTTTATCCTAGCAGTCAACATATTGACTGTTGCATATTAAGTATTAACACCATAATAAGATCAGGATGAATTTTTGCACATACCTGTTTGTCTCCTTAAGATATTTTGACTTGGCTTAGAGGATTCCTAGGTTAATAAGCAAACAACGCAAATCAATATGAATTTATATGGGATGGGGGTGCATGATTTGTAACAAGCAACACAAGGGTTTTTTGGATCATTTTGGTGTGCTTAAGGAGGCGGATATACATATACTTAAGATGTTTCTACTACTCTATTTATGATGTTTAATCATAAAACTATGATGATCAATCTGCCTAGTACTGGTTATTTCAATCCAGGATATCAATATGATGATTGCTGTGAGGCTTAAGAAGAAAGAATTTGTTTATCTTTCTTTAAAATTGTCATAAGCTTATGATTGCTTCTCTCGGTTGTTACTTTTACCCCTTCAATGAATATGGTCCTTGCACTTGATTCTTACATAATGACATCATTTTAATTCTTACCATCAGGATAGTTGTTAATCCTGTTGTCTTTACAATTTGACAGAGTGGAGAAAGAAAGGCGTGGATTTGGCATGAAAGTACCAAGAGCAGCTGCATAATAGAAGTGTAGCAATATAATTTCTGCTGAGATTTGAGATTTTTTTTTTTCAGAGCACAAAAAAACTTAGAGTCAACTCTAGGGGTGTTCAAATTGTTAAATTGAACTAAACTAGAAGAAAACTAAACTAAACTATAATAAATAGTTCATCAAACTAAATTGAACTAAAATAAATATTGACTAAACTAAACTAAACTATTATCTACTTTAGTGCACTATAGTTCTAGGAGTTTGAACTAAACTATAATATCAACTAAATAAAACTATTATTAACTATAAACTAAATTGAACTACATTAAAAAAAA